TTTTTGTTCTTACGAACAATGTAGCCTTGCACCTCTCTGTACAAGGTCTTGGCACACAAAGTGTGAGAAACACTTTGTATACTTTAAACACCAATAGACACTGTCAGTTGCCCGCCAATATGCCTGTTCCTGTTACCCTCTCCACAGTGGCATTTGGCCACGTCCGCTTCCCTATGCCTGCACTAGTACTTGTCATTATCAAGCCTTTGCCATTTTTGTCCATTCAATAGGTACACAAGTGGCATCTCACGTTGCTTTAATGTCCGCTCTTTCATTTATTCAACAAATATTTACTGAGCTCCTAATATGTGCAGGACTGGGCTAAGGACTAGGGAGGCAGCGATCAAGAACAGCCTGGCCCCTTGGAGCCCTTCACAGAACATGAGATGCAGATTCGGCTCAGAGAGAGTAAGAGACAGGCCTGGGATTAGATGGAGAAGGAATGAGGGAACAGGGAGTGACTCTGGGTCTGGGTGGCTACAGAGTTTCAGGTGTTTTTCCTCCTGAATTGTACCTCAAATGGGCATCTCAACCCAGATTCTGCAGCCTCTTCCAGGACTGCTCCCTCCTCCCCAGGCCGGCTGGGGCTTCCAGTGACATCTAGGACCTGCAGGCGTGACAGCGCCCAGGCAGCTGAGCAGACAGTCCTACCACAGACAGGGCTGTGTCTGTTTCCCAGGCTTCACCTCACACTAAGCCCGCTGAACTAACCATCTGAAAGGCAGATAGGTCGTCTTCAGAATCTGCATAGCCTCAGTGGCTGAGTTGGGCGTCTGTTTCCTGAATTTGGGTTTCTAGCAGGCCTGCCCCCAAACTACTGTCACCCCACCCCAAACCAAGTAAGTGAAAGAATGAATCTGTGGTTTGACTTTTTCCTCTTGTCATCAAGTGTCTGACTGTAAGAGGGTGGATATATGTCTGCGAGTGCTCACTTGAGTGTGCTTCAGTGAGAGGGGAGGCGTGAGAAAGCGTGCCTGTCGGTATGGGGTGGGAGAGGGCGGTATTTGGGAGTCCGCTTGTGAACCTAGGTCACTGTGTCTGAGTGGATTTGAATGGCAGTTTCTTGGTACAAGTAGTAACTGGATATCTGTGTGTTTGCGCTACCATCTATTCTGCATGTTGATTTTAGGGAAATGTGGGGTTAAAGATGGGTTTATAAACCGCACAAGTGATCCAGTCTGTCTGCTTCCCAGTCCACTTCCTCTGTTATATAGATCATGTCTCTATAATAGAAGCTCTTCTGCTTTCAGTGACATATTGTAAAAGGACACTGTTCAGGGAATAGGGAGGTCCTTTGGTGACTGGAGCTCAAATTCCCTGACCTTATCCTCTGACCCTCTCTCTCTATCTCCTCAAACATGCTCCCTAGAAGTACTTACCAAATTCCTTTTCACTGTGATGTGAAAGACTATCATGGGATTATATAGCTTTACATTTTTAAATGGGAACCAGGAGGTTTGGGGTAAGGATGAATCTCTGATCTTAGAATGTTCTCTTGGAGACTTTGATAAAATCATTTCACCTGAATCTCACCTCATTCATTTACAAAATGGGAACAGTAATGCCTACTGCTGAGGGGATGTGGATTCAGTGGAAATACTTTATGTCAAAGCATCTGGCATCGCCCAGCCAGCATGGCTCAGTGGCTAAACATAATGTTTGGTTCCCAGGCAGGGCACACACCCGGGTTGCAGACTTAGTCCCCCGTGTGGGGCATGCAAGGAGGCGGCCAATAAATGATTCTCTCTCATCAGTGATATTTCTCTCTCCCTTTCCTTTCTGAAATAAATAAAAAATGTACTTTTTAAAAGCAGCATCTGGTACTATGAGCTCAGTAAATGGTAATTTCTCCAGCCTGTTTCGGTCCTACCCCACTCTCTCAGAGGGAAGTGGTATCAACCTGGAACATTGCCCTTCTGTGAGGGGTCAAGGGACACAGTGCAGACTGTATCACAGGCCCTCTGCAGATGCTTGCATGGTCATCATCTCAGCGAACCCCAATGACCCCTCCAGGGAGACACTTTAGTGTTCCATTTTATAGAGGAGGAGACTGAGGCACAGAGAGAGGAAATGACTTGCTAAGGCCACACAGCTGAGCTCTCAAAGAGGACCTTCTACTGTATGTCACTGCCTGCCCTGCAAAACTCACTCTCTTTTTTTATTGAGCTTTAATTGACATATTATTGCTTATAATGAAATATTATGTATCTGTTATGAAATAACCACCACAATAACGCCCCCTTTCAGTCCCTCTCCCTCCACTGCAGCCACCCCCCTCATTTCCACATCTGTCCCATCTTTCACCTCCACATGTTCCCCCTCATTCCTTCCGCCCAAATGAAACACAGAAGGGAATAAGAGCAACCGTGTGCCGGCACTGGGCTAGGTGCTCTTACATGCCTTGGGTTGCTGATATCCTGAGGTTGGAGCCATTACCCTGCTAGACAGATGTGACAAGTAAATCTCAGAGCAAATGTGAGTAGTCTGAGGTCCCCCAGCTAGAACTGTGGGAGCCAGTGTAAAATCAAGGCTTGTGAGTTTTGAAGATAATTTACAAGGGACTCTGACGATTCCTTTAGTCCTTGTTTCTGGCAACTAGCATTTTTTTTTTAAATGTTGTCTTTTATATGCTCTATTAATAATAGCAAAGCGCCATTGAGTACCTACTATGTGCTGAGCCTAGAGACTACTCACACATGATCTCAGTGAACCTTCCAGCCACCCAGCAAGAGACCCATTTTATAGATGAGAAGGCCAAAGTTTTCTCTTGGTAATTGATCTAATCATCTAATGACACAGCATTCCATCTCCTAATTCATTTGGAAGCTATGTGCCTGTAGGGCTCTCTTCACCTTTGTCTTCCCCCCAGCACTTACCCCATGCCTGTATAAGAAGGTGCCCAATAAATGTTTGCTGAACTTGACCAGTGGCTCAGTGGTTAGACCATTGACCCAGTCACCAAAGGGTTTCCTGTTTGATTCTCAGTCAAGGACACATACCTGGGTTGCAGTTCAATTTCCAGCCCCTGTCAGAGTGAGTTTGGGAGGCAACCAATCAATGTGTCTCTCTTACATTGATGTTTCTCTCTCTCTCTCTCTCTTTCCCCCTTCCTCTCCCCGTTACACTCTAAAAATCAACAGGAAAAAATATCCTCAGGTGAGGGCTCACAACAACAAATGTTTGCTGGAGGAGGAACTCCTCCCTCCGCCCATGGTAGTACCCTCTCCATCACTGTTGGAGATGATGACCATTGGAGTGTCACCCTCCAGTTCCTTTGGCCACACTCTACCAATGGTTCTTCCTCTGTCCCATCTGTTCTCTATAATCCAGCCTCTACACAGCAGCCAACACCATCCTTAAATACTGTACATATTAGGCCTTGTCCAAGTTCTCCAGCCTGCAAGCCCCTGCAAAACCTGGTCCTTCCTGGCACTCCCACCTCCTTTCCTGTCAGCTGAGTCCCCTGTATCAGCCTCCCCAGTCTTTGGAAGACCCCAGGTTGTTTACACGTGCTTTTTCCTTGGCCTGGAACCCCACTAGAGTTGCTCTCCTTTATGTTGCCTTGTCCCCTTGATACAGCTTATTGTGACCGACAATGTGTGTTCTTTCTCTGGACAGAGAAAGGGCTTGTGTGTCCTCACCAGGCCCTCAACACACTTGGTCCCCTATTGAAAGTTGAAACAAGTGAGGCACACAGCAGGGACATGTGAGCTAGGATAAACCAGGATTCAAACTGGACCAAGATGCACATTTCTAACCCCTCTTCCCACCTGTCTCCTATGCTCCTGGGCTGCCTACTACATGCGGTTTACATGAACAATGTGTGGGCCCAGGTCACCCCGTGTGTGAGCATGTAGGGCTAAAGAAGGCTCTGCACAAACAGAGTGTTGTCTACTTCAAAGGCTTCTTGGTGTCTCCACCTCCCCCCCTTCATTTCTGCCTCTGTGCTGGCATGGCTCCTTACATTCCATGAGGTTTCATCACAAGGCATGTCCCTGCTCCCTCTGAAACCTTTCTGCTTTGTGCTACCAAACCAGGCCCCCAAACACAGGACACCTTTAGTGAAATGAAAATGCCAACACAAAGTCATCCAGTGGACAAGCTTTAATCATTGTTGCGTAGAAATCACTTGTAGTAACACGTTCCTGCAAAAAGTTTGACTTCCTTCTGGCATTCCATGCACGATGGTGTTTCTCATTTGGGTGAAACTGACACAGGAACAAGCCATGGAGTGCGATCTCAGTTGCATCTCCGCCCTAAGTGATAGGAATAGGAAAAGGACCTTTTAGAAGTTGTGCTTCATGAAGTCACTAACCCTCTCCTTCGAGTCTTAGGACTTTTCATTTATAATCAAATGTGGGCATGGATAGAGCATAAACTATATAGGTCAAGTTACCTTTGACCCATGTGAATCCATCCATCCCATACACTTAAAAAGACTGTGTGAAAAAATAAAGACTGGGTGACTCATGACCCATCCATGAATCACCCAGTCTTTTCATCTAACATTCATTTAATTCTTTCAACTATATCCAGGCTACCCATCTTTTGAAACTTCCATTTGTTCATTAAATCCATCCATCCAATTAACCATCCATCAGTTCACCTGCACATTTATTTATCCACAATGATTTAATCATTCACACACCTAGTCAATCAGTTCACCATCCATATCCTTCCAACCATATCTAAACTTTCCACTCATTCAACTGCATTCTATCCATCTATCAATCCACTTAACTATTTAACCCTCTTATCACTTATATCTCTACTAACCACACTTCTAATGAATTTATCCACCAAGCTCCCACCCCCCATCCATCCTTCTATCCAGTTAACCTGTCACCTATCTATTTTTCTAATCAACCCATCCAACTTATTGGAAGAACTAGTCCAGCAATGTACCACATACACAACTGCCATGGTTTCTTCTCCTTCTTGGCTTGGAGGTTGCAGCCTTTGCCTCACTGTCCCCCCATCATCCAGCTGGACAGCCCCTCTCACCCCTCCCCACCTGCGTGGATAGTACCTGAGTTTCGCCTCTTTGTTTTGTACACCTGCTGTCTCCTATTGACCACCTTCTTCTTCCTCACTTTTCCTTCCAAGTTCTTTCTGTTGTTGGTGTTGCTGCAGGAGTGGGTGGTGGGCCTCACGGGGCAGTGGTGGGAGTTCGTGGTGCGTTTGTGATGCCTTGGTGGTGGGCTGGGGCTTGGAGTCTGGATTTGGTGGCCGGTCGGGCTTTGGCTGGAGATCCGGCTTCGGCTGCAACTCTGGCTCCGGGAGCAGCCATGGCTGCAGTTCTGGCAGTGGTGGCTGCAATTGCAGGTGTGGCTTTGGGGCCGAGAGTTGCTATGGGGCTGGGTGTGGGTGGTGGGAGGGTTCTGTGACTTGGTGTCCATGGGAGGCCACTTGTGGGGGCAGAGGCCGCCTCCTCCTCCTCCTCTTCTTCCAGCACACCCAGCTTTGCAGGGGCCCTGGCACCCCCCCAGTTATATAGTTGGGCCCAATTGTGATGGCACAGGCATGGAGGTGTAACAGATGTGGCCTGGTTGGGACAAAGGCCCCTAACTCTTACACTAACCCCTAGGGTGGAGCAATTTTCAGGGGCCCTCTAGGGTAATCCCATCTGTTGGTTAAGAGTAGGGACCTTTGAGTTACATTGAGCTGGACCCACATCCCAGATCTACCTTTTTTTTTTCTTATGGGTCACTCACCTGGGTTTTCATCCCTCCAAATCCCAGTTCCCCTGTTTTTGTAGAGTGGGGACAATAAGAATACCTACCTCTCTGGGATGCCAGACAAATTAAGTGAGAGAATCAGTGTACAGCAATTGGCTCAGTGACAGCCCACAGTAAGAGCTCAATAAACATTGCTAAACATTCCAGCTCTTTTCTTATTCCTCCCATCGGCTTAGAGGCGAGGGCACAGTCTGACCTCAGTGATACTTGGCTGGGGACGGTTGGTTGATAAGATAGAGCAAGGATAGCTGGGTGGGTAGATGGATGGTGAACGGATTGGATGGCTTATTGGATGGATGAATGATAAGAGTAATGGGATGAACTGATCTGTGGTCAAGGGGGCTGCGTGGCAAGCCCACTTCCCAGTCAAGATTTAAATTTGGGAGATTTAGAGCAAGGTTCAATCCCAGTGTATGCTGATTTCTATCTAGGGTAGGTCACTTTGGTTTTTGAGACTTCCTTATCTGACAAAGGGATGTCATTCCTTCCTTCCGGGTATTCTTGTGAACCTGAAATGCCTGTCCAGCCACAGGAGGCACTTGAAAGCCCTCTTCCTCCTTCAGATTCCTGCCTCCCATCTCCCTCCCTACTAATGAAGCCTCACCTTCAGTAGGAATCAGGCCCACCCTACTCAGATCTCTGGGCGCCTACGGAAAAAAGCCCGATCTGTTAGCATGGAGACCATACCAGCACATAGCAGCTCAATCCTTGCCAGGCCTTGGCCAACACCCTTGGGCTTAGCTCCTGGCCACTCTCAGCCTGCACTTTCCCCCTCTTCCCCGTGAAACTCCTTCTGTGTCCATCTCCCCTCCCCTGGCAGCCCCCCCAGCCCACATCTACGTCTCCTCCTCTATCCTCATCAACACTTTCCTCTTGCTATGAGACTTTACTATCATTTGCTTTTATTACAGTTTATTTCTTAACAAGATGGTCACATCATTCAAGCGACAACCACCCTCATTAATGGGCACCCCTCCCCCCTTCTAGGCAGTTTTGTCCTTGAGGCTCACGGGAGCCTTTGCAGTGGGTTGAAATGGTGGCCCCCAAAAGGTATGTCCAGGTCCTGACCCCAGAACCTGTCAACATGACTGTATTTTGAAAAAGCATTTTTTGTATATGTAAGTTAAGGAGAGTGTATCTTGGTTATCAAGTGGGCCCTAATCCAATCACAAATGTTCTTTTTTTTTTTTCATTAATCTCCTCACCTGAGGATATTCCCCCTCCCCCCCCCAAAAAATGGAATTTTAGAGAGAGTGGAAGGGAAGGGGAGGGGGTGGGAGAGAGAAACATGGATTGGTTGCCTCCTGCACATGCCCTGACCCAGAGCGGATGGAGCTCAAGACCCTTCAGTCTGCAGCCAATGCTGTAACCATTGAGTCAAACTGGCCAGAGCACAAGTGTTCTTATAAAACAGAAGAGAAGACACACATCCTCTTTATGAGAATAGACCACATGAAGTCAGAGGCAAAGATTAGAGTTATGCAGCCACAAGCCAAGGACCTTGAGCTGCCATGAGCTGCACAAGGCAAGGAAGGATTCTCCCCTGGGACCTCAGGGGGAGGGGGCTATGGCTCAGTTGACTTCTTGATTTCAGACTTTGGCTTCCAGAACGAGAGAGGATAGATTTCTGTTGTTTTAAGCCACGAAGTTTGTGAGCATTTGTCCCAGCAATCCTAAATGAACCCTATGAGGCCAGCATGACTGTTTCATTTTATAAAGAGGGAGCAGGCTCAGAGTCACAGATAGTCAGTGGCAGAGCCAGGATCCCAACCCAGGTCTGCCCCCCCCCCCCTTGTCCACCCTTATGGTCCATAGGGGTCAGAGGGGATTATAGAGGGCACATGGGCTCTATTCTAATGGCCTTGCCTTGTGTGGGCTCAGTGGGCTGGTTGGCCATGCTGTGAAGATTCTTTCTGGGTCCTTTCTCCTCTCACCCCCCCCCCCCCCCCTGCTGATTCCCTATTTCCATATGCCGGAGTGTGTAGAAGGATGGAGACTTGTGTTTTGTTCATCTTAGAGCCCATAGTGACTATAGAGGGGGCTTGACAAATATTTGACTGAATGGGCAGGTGGATCTCTGGGACTTCGATAAAAGCAGCTGGTTGACTGAGGTACTGGGTCAGGGGTATGGGTAGGAATCCGTTAAGACAGACAGTGGGGCCTCCTGCTTTGGACATCACTTGCCCTTTTCCATCTGCAAGTTTTAATGGTGGCCTCCCCTCTGAGTAACCCAAGGCCTCTTTAACCCTAACACTTCCCCCTCCCCCCAAGTAGCTGAGGGTTCCAGGAAAAACTGCCACTCCCTCCCCCAACAGCCGTCAGGATTCTACTCAGCCAAGTGGCTGGTGCTTGGCGGCCTACTGAGGGCCGAGGGTGGAGATCATGTGTCATTTCTTCAGGAACAGGATGGACCGCAGAGTGGCCAGAGTAAGTAAGTGGCCAGAGGGCCTGGGTTTTGTGTCTGTGTCTGGCGGCTTCTCTGGGCTCCCTTTGCCTGTTGCTTTCATGAGGACATGGGTTCTGCTCCCACAGCCAGACCCTTGATAAAGGCAGACATGAGCCTCTGTGAGCACGGGTGTCAGCAGAAGAATCACAGGCTGAGGACCAAGACCCACCGCATCCTCTGACCCCAGAACCAGGGCCAATGAGCCACCTCATTCCACAATACCATCTTCATTCAGGTGTGCCTGGCCTGGGCCCACTCAGCGCTTCCACTGACCTAGAGGGCACTACTAATCTCACCCTGACCCAGGGAGGGGCAGGCCAAGGCTCCAAGACAGACAGTGACTTGCTCAAGGTCACAACTAACAGAAAGAGGTTTGATTCCTGGTGTGCTGAACTCACAAGCCAGTACTCCTTAGCAAAACTGATGGCTAGAGTATCCGGATGGGAGCTTTGCTGAGGGAGAGTACACTGTCCCCTCAGGTGCCCTCAGCCTGCGTACTCACCTGCTCCCCCTCTGTCCCATTATGTGTACACCCCCAGAGAAAGGACTGGCTGAGATGACTTTCCTTCCCAGGCCACCACATTTTTGTCCCCTAAAACAGGGGAGGGTGGAAAAGTCACAGAGAGTGGACCTTGTGAGAACTTCTGGTTGGATGTCAGGAGCAGGATAGATTTCTGCTCTTCAGTCTCCCTGAATACACACACACACACACACACACACACACACACACACACACACACGGGCATGCACACACGCACACATGTACAGGGGCACACACATGATACCACAGGCACAGGATTGAGGAGACCAGAAAGGAGGAGTAGAGTTTCTTTGGAGATTTTATTGGCTCTTTTCTGAAAGTTCTTCTCGCTGGAATAGCAGTAGGCAGCTCTTCCTGGGTCCTCATCAGGGGTCAGGAGTGCGTCTGCTTGGGCTCGGGGCTCTGCTGGGCCACAGGGTCATCTTCGGCGCCCTCCTCCTGCCTCTCAGGCTCCATCAGCAGCAGCTTGCCCTGTACTGGGAGCTCCTCTTCCTCCTCATCTTCCTCCTCCTCCTCCTCTTCTTCTCCCTCCTCTTCTTCCTCACCCTCTGAGGACAAGGAGAAGTTATCTTGACTCACGCAGGCCACGAGCTTCTTCATGGAGGATTCATGGCCCCGGCTGTGGCCTGTGCCTAGCTTGGCACAGTGGGAACCCATGTCTGCTTTGGCTGCCTCTCCAGACTGTGCGGGAAGGCCTCTGGGGGGAAGTGGAGGGGCTTTGAGGGCTGTAGGCAGGGTGCTGACATCACAAAGGTGCCTCTGGAGCTCCCCACCCTCGGATACCTGAGTCTTGACACCTGCCTCAAACCTCAGCCATGAGCAGCCCCACTGAGCTCTCGCCACCTACAGAGCAGGGCAGAGGCAGAACACCAGGCCAGTGCCGATGCCGCCTCCCCTGCCAGGTTGCCTCCTCCATCTGGCCTCATTTGCTCTTATAAAAGTTCCCTTTGAGTTGGGATGGCAGTTAGGGATAGAATTTCCAGAAGCAGTAGAGCGCCCATCCCCCCCCCCCCCCCCCCCCATCCCAGAAACACCCAGCCTAGGAGAAGACACACAGAAGGTGACAATAGATCAGACAGTGGCTCCCTTTGGGGGCTGGAGACACAGAGAAGCCTTGTGGTGGGAAGGGCTGGAAATGTACACTTTCTTGACCTGGGTGGTACCTACGCAGGTGTACTTAAAATCTGTGTCCTCGGTGTCAGCTACATTTCCGTCAATCTAAAGAAAACCCTTACTTCCTGTCCCCGAAAATCACCCTTTGAAGGCAGCGCTCCTAAGCTTTTGGGGTCACAGGCCTCTTTAGCTACACATCCCCACAGGTCACAATTTCAGCAAAGGAGGGCTGAGTTAAGTTCCCTTGGTATCCATTTTCCAACATGTAAATCAAAGTTTGCCATTTTTCTGCCCTAAACCCTTGGTGGCTATGATAAACTGAATAATGACTCTTTGGGTATCTTTGAAAAAACAAAAACAAAAGTAATTTCAGAAAAGAAGGGAGAGGAAGAGAGAGGGAAACATCAATGTTGAGAATCATTGATCAGCTGCCTCCTGCACACCCTCTATGGAGGATTGAGTCCGAAACCTGGGCATCTAACTGTGGCCTCCCAGTTGATGGGTTGGTGCTCAATCACTGAGCCCCACTGTCCCCCTTCTCCCCCCGCCAGGGATCTCGAATGGGAAGATTATCCTGGGTTAGCTGGGTGAGCCCTAAATGCAGTCACAAGGGTCCCCGTGAGCAGGCAGACATTTCACAGAGGAGGCCTTGTGACCACAGAAGCAGAGACTAGAGTGATGTGGTCACAGCCAAGGAACTCCAGGATGACAAAACCACCAGAAACTAGGAAGGGATGAGAACGGGTTCTGCCCGGAGCCCCCAGAGTGCAGCCCTGTTGACTGGTACACAGAGTCCCATCTCAATCTAGTGGCCCACACAGGCCTCACATTAATTTACCCCTTTCTTTTGTTTCCTCTATGCCAGGCCTTCCTATCTCAGCATACTTTCCCAAGCTACCCAACACATCCTAAGGTTCAAGACCCCTGCAGATGGGGATGACAAGGAACTGGGAAGGTCAGGGTGGAATAGTGTGTCTTTTAGCATCATAAAAGGCAAACCTGGCTCAGGGGATGTCACAGGTAATTCAACGTGCCTATCTCCCAGGAGCACTCTACTGAACTCCCTGCCCTAGTCCTTACCTCCCCAAAGAAGGGAAGCCATGTTCGTATGATTTGCATAAAGGAGACCCTGACAAGCCAGCAAGTTTCTTATCTCAAGCTTTATTTGGCAGATGACTTGCTCATTTTACTCAAGAACTTATGGGCTCAGGGTTTGGGCATCCAGCATGGAGGGATTGCTGTGGTCATGTGAGGTGGTTCCTTGTCAGGTGACTTTTCCTTGATTTCCAACCAGGTGTGTGATGGATGGGCCCAGGAAGGTCTAACGACACCTTCTGTATCTTCTCCTCCTGCATCTTCTGCGACCTTTTGGAAAAGAAAGTTCTGATCATAGGGCAATCCAGACAACCTGGGTGGGGCTGGGGATTGGGGACTGTCAAATGGGGTAGGATCCCAGGGTATCATGAGCCTCCCACTGCCCTTCTGGGCATGGTCTGGAGGTGTCGGGTGCCCAGAGCGTGAGTAAATAGGACTAGACCAACATCTACGGTGCCTCCTGTGCCTACAGCAACGTCTCCTGCGTCTCCGGCATGAGCGGCGCCGCCTTCTGTGGATCCTGTACAGCCGCCTTCGGGAGCAGCGCCTGCGTCTGTAGTGACAGCGGCCTCTGAGCGTCCTCCCGTCCTGGCTGTCGTCTGCATTCGGATCCTGCTCTTGTTCCTGGCTTTGTTGATGTGGGCGTTCGCTCAGGCTCCTGGCGCTGTGTCGGACCATTGTGATTGCAGGCTGAGGCTGTCGCTGGCTTTGGGGGCAGGGAGGAGGGCTGAGGCCTGCCCACCTGCTCTTGCTGTTAATGTTGGTCTGGTCTGCCGGCAGCTTTTCGAGCACTTGTATATAAAGGGGCCCCCCACTATGACTTGGCAGCCCCACCCCACCATTGTCCTCACCCTGGCCAGCTCCTCTGAGAAGAAAACAGAGCCAGGGTCCACGGCCAGCAGGGCCTGGAAGGGCAAGCCACCCCTTCCCGATCCCTGTAGCAGGTGGGACTTTGCCAACCTTTTCTTGTCCACATCTAAGCCCTTCTCTCATCCAGCTGGTGGCAGCCCCCACATAGCAGTTCCTGAAGTTCTCTCACCACCTGAGAAGCTGCACCATGCGTGGGCCTTCATTATTGCTTTTCTATCCAACAGTTATCTAGTGGTTACTGTATGCCAAGCATTTCATTCACTTTCATACATTTACTCATTTACTCCTCACTGTTATAATCCCCATTTCCAACAGGGAAACTGAGCCACAAAGCAATTAAATAAATGACTTGTTCAAGGTCACTGCAAATAAGGGGCAAGAGAGCCTGAGCCCTTGGCCCCTCCTTCCCACCCCTCTCACTGTACTGAGATGATCCCATTAAAGCAGAATCAGAATCTTAGCAACTGGTTTCCCTTTCTGAGCTTTCTGGGTGAGTTAAGGATCTGGAGATAGGAACTCATCCTGGGTTATCCCAGGTGAGTTCAAATGTAGGGACATGGGTCGTTGAAAGTTGGAAGAAGGAGGCAGCAGGAGAGTCACAGGAAGAGCTTTAAAGATTCTAGCCACTGGCTTTGAAGATGGAGGTGGGGCCTCTCGGAGCTGACGAGAACATGGCCCTGCCCACACCTTGACTCTAGCCCTGTGAGACCCGTTGTGGAATTCTGTAAGATAATAAATTTGAGTTGTAAGCTATGAAGTGTGTTGAATTTGTTACAGTACCACAGGAAACTAATACAGAAGCTTAATTTCACCCGGTGTTCATATGCATTAAGGTGGCCAGGGAGGTCTGTGTCCAGTTATCAGCGATATTGTCTGACTGGGTATAGGAAGCCATCCAGCGACCCCCATCTAACACCCTCACTTGTATAGACAGGGTTGTCCATGCCTGTGTGGCAAGGCCAGTATGGGGCCTAAAAGTGAATGCCAAACACCTGTACACCATGATGCCGAAACATGCAGGTCATGGTCATGTTTCGGAGGTTCTGATGGCCCTGTCACTTTAGGGATCGAGCCTGAGCCGTGGGCTTTGCTCCGCCGCCATGAGGTTGTGAAATGAGCCAAATAGGCCGATGTCCAAAGTGTTTTGTGAACCATCTCCACATCATCCCGGGGTTTCAAGCCCTCAGTGAATCATGTGGGTCGAGTGGATAGACAAGATGGTCACGTTAAATGTGAAAGCTTAGTTCAGCCACCACCTGGGCATCCCTGTACCCAGACCTAGGGGAGCTTTGAGCCGAAAACTGTGGGCACGTGGGGATGGGTGGGATATAGTGATGAGCTGGAGCTGGTAAATGTTTACCTGGCTCTCTGTGACAGGGGCAGGGGAGAGCAAGTCCTGATTTGTAGCCTTTGCACGAATTTCTGTGGTCCGTTTCAAGCTGCCAGCAGGTGTCATAGAGCTCAGTGTTGGCGGGAGGTGGGCTCAGGAACAGCATGGCTCGGCTCCTGTCCCCACTGGGGGAATCTCTAAGCGGGGGTTGGGAGGCAGCTTTTGATTGACTTAGTAGTCAGGAGTTTGGACCAAGATTTAATGTGACAACTTTCACTCATGTCCCCTCTTCCCGGCATCCTCAACCCCTTTTATTTTTCTTTAAATATAAACATCCATGATGAGCAGCATTGATCCGCTACCTCCTTCACACCCCCTCTGGGGATCAAGCCAGCAACCCACGTATGTGCCCTGACTGAGAATCAGACCTTGACCATCTGGCTCATGGGTAGAAGCTCAAACACTGAGCCACACTGGCTGGGCATTTCCCACTTTTAATCCCCAGCCCTCCTCTCCCCTGAACTCCCTTCTCAAGGCAAAGACATAAGAGAGGAGTTATTTTTTCAACATTTATTGACAGGCGGCGTTGTTCGTTAGCAGGCTCCTGTTCCATGTTCACTTCATTGAGATGATGCCATGTTCAAGGTGTAGCAAGAGGGTGTTGTAGCTGGTAAAACTCAGGCAGAGCGTGTGGACTTGCTAGCTTGTGCCTTCAGCATCTTAAGGCATCTTATCTTCTTCTACACCTGTAGCGGCGGCAGCACGCTAGGAAGCAAAACGGGGAGAGAGAACATTTTAGTGTGGCAGAACCCTCAGTTCTGCCCAGCTCTTTGTGGCTTCTGTACCCAGATAGGGACCCCTTTTACCTCTTCTCCTCCTCCTCCTCCGGCAGCAGCGCCTCCTTCGCCTATGACATCTTCTTCTCCGGCGGCGGCACCTGCTCCGGCTGCGGCAGCGTCTGTATCTGGCCATGGTGCTGGGTGGAACTGGCCTAGATGTTCAGAGCAGGGAAACCACCTTGGCTGAGCCAGCCAACCTGTGAGCAGGTGGAACTTGGTGGGCTGTGAACCAGGGGCTGGTCCTGTGCCTCTTATAGACGCTGGGGAGGGGCCTGGGCATTGTGAGGTCGCAGAGGCCTGCACCTCCGACCCTGGCATGTCCATATATGGGCATGTGCGAGCCCCTTGGGGAGGACAGGGCGGGGCTACCCGGCTCACCAGCCACTGATAATCACTCATTCAGTCAATTCACAAAGTATTATTGAGCGCCTTACTATGTGTCAGATTCTGGACGAGGTGTCAACATACAGTGATAAAAAAGGCAGACATGTCCCTGCCTGATACACTTTCTGACTACAAGAAACACAAATGAAATAGCCTCGTAGAATAAATGTAGTTGTGAGAAAAGCTGACAAGAGAAACTTCAGATTTTTATGGGGGCATGTGTTGGGGGGACTTGTGGCCCTAGGAGAGCTGCTTCATGAAGTGCTGGTGAAGTGAATTCCTAAAGGACCAGTTGGAGTTGGAGCAGGGAAAAGCCTCTGGGAGAAGGAAACAGCTGGTGCGAAGTTCTGAGGCAGCGTGGGGTGTGTGATTCCAGTTATATGAAGTGTCCCAAAGGGAAATCCGTAGACAAGTCAGTTGGTGGTTGTGGGAAAAGGGGCCTGGGGACTGACTGCTTAGTGGGTACAGGTTTCCCTCTGGGGTGATGAAAATGTTTTGGAATTAGAGAAAGGTGATGGTCACACAACATTATGCGTGTACTAACTGCCGCCGAATTGCTCACCGTGACCTGATTCTGTGTTACCTGAACTTTACCTCCACTGAAAAGTTCTGAGGCTGAAAGGGGCGTGGCAGCTATAAGGAGTCCAAGGGGGCCCGGCCCACAGGGTGGCCGGAGAGGAAGGCAAGATGAGGCCTGAAACTCTCAGCTTCCCATGATTGTTCCCGTTTCCCCCAGGAATTTTAGGGACCCAGAGGGTATTAGATTTGGTTAGTTTTATTTTTTTTTTCTTGTGTTTTTTTCATTTTTAAAATTATTTCTTTTTATTGAATTCATCAGGATGACATTGTAGATGTGGTTACTTTTTTAAAAAAAATATATTTTATTGATTTTTACACAGAGAGGAATTGAGAGGGATAGAGAGTTAGAAACGTCAATGAGAAAGATACATTGACCAGCTGCCTCTTGAATGTGGGTGACACTGGGGATGTGCCCGCAACCAAGGTACGTGCCCTTGACCAGAATCGAACCTGGGACCTTTCAGTCCGCAGGCCGATGCTCTATCCACTGAGCCAAACCGGTTTCGGCTAGATGTGGTTAATTTTAACAGCAAGCCAAAAGAAGTGATTTTTGGATAGAAGTTTTACATTTCACTTGAGCAGTCAGAGGCGGCTTGGGCAGTCAGTGTTCTAGTTCGGGCATCCATACCGGAGTGCTTAGGGATGATGGGCATCGTGACTGCCCGGTGCGCTCAAGTGATTCAGAAGAGGAGGAGGAGCAGTGGGTCCAGATCTACGCAGAGAAAGAGGGAGAGGGCGGCGGCGAGGAGAGGGCAGCGGAGTAAATGGAACCGAATGTTAACTGACCAGTCTGCATGAAGGGGATTACTTTGAATAGTTCTTGTAACTTTTCTGTCACTTTGACATTATTTCAAAATAAATCATTAAACTAAAAACAAAAAACAAACGAAAGGAAAAGGAGAGAGCCTTCCAGGGCTGGTGTGGCGGGTCCTTTTATCTTTCAGCTCTGCCCTTAGCAAACTCTTTTCACCCTCGATTGTCCCACAGTCCAAAGCCAGGGCTCTGTGGATGGTTTTGCGGTTGGTGTACTGCTCGGAGCTCTCAGCCGAGGGTTGGGTGGTTCAGAAATGCAGGCCCAGCTCCCAGAGGCACGTGTCTGCCCATAGGAAATGTCTTTTCCCCCTTCGAATGCTCGCATGTAAGTTTTTTTCTAACTGGAACAAAAGCACACTAAGGGCTAGTCTTGGAAATGCACCCATATTTACTGTGGAAGGAAGAAGGGGAGGGCGTAAAAGGTGTCATTACCCTGCAAAGAGTTTCCCAGACACCCCTCCCGGCAGCTTCACCTTCTGACCGTTTATTTACCTTACTGTGGCAACAACTGGCCCTCAGAATAAAGCTGGGGCTCTTAGGAAGGAGAAAGGGGTCAGTGGATAGTTAGATCATTTGTACTCTTTGTCCCAGAGCGGGGTGCAGCCAGAAACTTCCAGAACCTTACCTCCACACCCACAACAAGGGAGGAAAACCATGGATTTGAAGCTAAAGTCCACTGAGTTACTAAGAGGGCTGTACCAATCACATAGTAGGTTAGCAACACATTTTCTTTGTTGATTCCTGTCTAGATCGACTATAAATTATCACCCCAAATCCTATAACACTTAGCACTTTTCAAAGTTAACCTACATGGTCCCGGAGGAGCCCCAAGAAGTGGTAGCGTTTGGTATTTACCCTGTATTACAGATGAGGTATGTGAAACATATGTGCTGTATCACTCATCCGTTCACATTTTTATTGAGCTCCTATTATGTGCCAGGCACTATTCTAGGCAGTGGGAATACAGCATGAGCAAGAGAGATGAGAGTGTTTGTCCCACAGGAAGCTTGCATTCTAGTTGGGACAGACAGTATTCAAGTGAACAAATAAATGAACAGAAGACTCTGAAGTTTATCACAACTACATGCAGAATCAGTTGATGAGCCAGAGAATGCCTGGAGGGTGTTGGGAGAGGTCTTACTGACATTGGAGCTGAGAGCTGATGGATGAGAAGGAGCCAGCTGTGCCAACTTCTGTTGAATGTGGGTGACCCTGTCAGGGAGAGAGCCAATGGCTCTGCCCCACGCAGTCACTCAGGGACTCGGACACATAGCTTCCAGCATGGCCTGGATGTTCCCATCCAGCCACTGGACGGAGGGAGGGAGGGTTTATTTACTGCCTCCGCCCAAAGCGGAACACTCCACTTCTATTCCTGCATCCTTGGTGAGCTAGTCATATGACCCTGTGGGACACAAGGAAAGCCTGGAGGTCAAGTCTGTGGACTGCAGCTTCCCAGAAATGTCGTCTGTGGAAAGGGGAGTGAGAATTTGTTGTGCTTCTCTCCCTCTGCCATAGAGCGGAAGGGACAGGAGCTGGCGGGGGGCAGAGTGGCTGGCGGGACATAGCACCACGAGGAGGCCTGGGAAGGCCACTCTGTGGAGGGGACTTGTGAGCTGAAGACGTGGCTGATGGGAGTGGTTTGTTGGTTTGAAGACTATGCAAGGGGACAGGAGAAAACTTGGAATGAGAGATGTGGCTTCAGAGGAAAAAACAAGTCTTGGCCTTCCAGTTTAGGTGGGGGGACAGGCATTAATAAGATCAGCACAGAAATCGTTGTAATTTTTGGGAGAAGAGGCCCTTGGAGCCATGAGGTGGGGCATTTGGCCTAGTCTGGAGTGGAGAGGACTGAAATGTTGGGGGTTATTTGTTCTAGCACCTGACACCCTAAATAATCCAGCACTTGTCACTGATACTTATTGTGTTCATTGTCTCCAAGTAGAATATAAATTCCGTGATATCAGGAACTTGTGTTCACTGTGGCAATCCTGTAACAGAGTAATCAGTACATAAACCAAATATTTATTGAAGAACTGAATGATAAATGGATGCTTTGTATGAGATTTTGTTGTCACTTTTCAAATATTAAATCAAGATACCGTATTTGATTTTTGAAATGTTACACACCCTATCCCTTCCCTCTGCCCTGGTTCTTTTGAGTCCGGCCCCAAGCTGAGAAATGCTGCTAATCACTAAGACTTCAGTCATCTCAAACATATGCAGAAATTCCAACAAGCATGTCAGGAGGGTGGGTGATGCTGTCCCCTGAGGTCCTGGTTGGTCAGTCACCTGGTGTGTATTCTCCACACCCCACATCTGTGATATCACAGTGGCCCCCCCACAGCCATCAGGATCAAGGGGAGATGCCACCAAAGAAGTGAAGGCAGAGGCTGGAGCCAGGCAATTAATTCTCAGTTTAATGAGAGGACAATTTAGCAGTAAGATGACAGTGTTTTAAATGTGCCGTCACACCCTCAATTCCACCGCCAGGGATCTGTCTTGCAGAAATTCTCACATGTGTTCATGAAGGTGTGTAGGAGGGTGTTCAGTGGAACATTGTGGGAAGGAAATGGGCAGTAACAGTGTTTAACTTAAGGAAATGGTCAGTCAGTTGTTACGTCCATATTTGAAAAATTTTTCCCTTTTGAAAATTCTTTATTGTGTAAAGTATTACATATGTCTCCTTTCCCCCCATTGACTAGCCATTCCCACCCCCAGGAATTTTTTTGATTAAAAAAAAGTATGTGTGTGTGTGTGTGTGTGTGTGTGTGTGTGTGTGTGTTTCAGAGAGGAAGGGAGAGGGAGAGAGAGAGAAACATAAATGATGAGAATCATTGATCCTCTGCCTCCTGCATGTGCTCCACTGGGGATCGAGCCCACAATCTACACATGTGCCCTGACTGGGAATTGAACTGTGACCACCTGGTTCAGTTTATATGTTGACCCTCAACTACTGAGCCATGCTGGCCGGGTGGGTATTATTTTTTTCATTCATTTTTTTTTTTTTCTAATCATGGAAATAACAATATTCAGCAATGCTTTGACCCTTATGTAAAAAAAATTCAAGCAGCCCAGCTGTTGTCCTATGAACCTGGAGGTCATGGTTGGATTCCCGGTCAGGGCACATGCCCAGGTTGTGGGCTCAATCCCCATTGTGGGGCATGCTGGAGGCAGTTGGTTGATGATTCTGTCTCTCCCTCTTCCTTCCTCTCTAAAATCAATAAAAATATATTAAAAAAGAAAAATGAAAATAATAATACCCATTACTGCATTATCTGAATATTACTTTTTCTTTAATAAAAATTTGGTTACAGAGAGTTCTCATATTTCTCACCCACTTTCCCCCACTGTTAACATTTTACATCACCATGGCTACTTTGTTACAACTAAGAAACATAACCAGGTGTGTATGCTTTGGGAGGAAGGTGACAGAGGGAAGGGCCATTCTCACTTTCTATCAAGGGCACATGCTCTCAAGATGACTTATCACATTGATGTTGACCTTGATCCCCTGGCTGAGGTGTGTTTACCAGGTTTCTCTACTGTAAAATTACTCCTTTCTTCCCCCATTTTACATAGTAGTCTTTGGGACAGTCGCTTTGTGCAGCCTACACTTCAGGGATGAGAAGCTATGTCCCACCTCCTTGAGAGCAGGGTATGTACATAAATTATTTGAAATTCTTCGTGGTGGATATTTGTCTCTTCTCCCTAATTTATTTATTTAATCATATATCAACACACACTCGTGGAAATTTCATACTTTGGGTTATACTACTATGTTTTATTGCTCAAGTTGTTTCAGTTTTGGCCATCGGGAGCTCTCTTAGTTGACTCCTGTGTCCCTTTGCCCCCCTCTCCCCAATCATGTGAGTTGTGAGCACTTCCTTATTCCTATCCTAGACTTAGAATCAGCCATTTCTCCAAGGAGCCCTGTGTCCTTTCATTGGAGAATGGTGTTAGAAACCCAGATCTGGGACCTGATGTGCTTGTTGCTATGGGGTGATGTTGCTTCTAGGCCTTCTCTGTGACAGAGCAAGGAAATATGTGTGCATATATTAACCATATACATATTTATACACAACTATCTGTATGACTGTTAAACATGAGTTCATTCTGATGTCTCCACTTCCATATGGGTCATCTGGCCTCCCCCTCGCTTAGCTGTAACTTCCTATCCCAACAGGGGATCCCTGGCAACTGCCTTTCATCATCCATTTACTTAATTGTTCCAGCTCAGTATGCATGTGGTAGTCATAGAATTATTCACCTTTACCCCTGGTACCTTTCCATTCATGAATTAATTCCAATAAAGGTTTGATGAATGCCCTTTGTGCTGAGCACTGTAAACAAAAACATCCCTGCTCTCTTGCAGTTTATAGTCTACAGCAGGAGATAGAGCAATAAGCATGACAAATAAGTAAATTGTGTTGTATGTTAAAAGGAAATCAGAAAAAGTAGAGAAGATGAGGATGGCTGGGCTTCCTGGGGGTGGTTGGGACAAGTGGCAATTCAGGTCATCAGGGCAGGCCTTGATGACATTTGAGCAAATCCTGAAGGCAATGAGGGATTCAATCATGTGAACATCTTAGAAGAGTATAGCAGGCAGAGGGAATGGCCAGTGCAAAGGCCCTGCGGTAGGGATGTATCTGCTGTGTTCAAGGAACAATAAGGAGGCTCCTGTGATGAGTAAAGAGAGATGAGGAGTCAATGGGAGATGAGGTCATAGAGGTGGGGGCACCAAATTATGATGGCTTTGTCAGTCACTCTAAGGATCGGCTTTTATTTTGAATGAAATGGGGACCACAGGAGTGACATTCTCTGCTGCTGTGTTGAGAAGGATATAAGGGAAGGGGAGGAAGTGAGGAACCCACTTAGGAAGCAATAGCCATTTAAAGTATCCCTGCTGCGAATTCACCCAAGAGCTAGCAACATGGCAGACACTGGCCGCCTTCAGAACAGTCTGTGACATGATGGAGCTAGGCGTGCTAATGGGAGTGGGTTTAGGGAGAGGAGAGGAACTGGAGAGCCAGACTGACAGGTTTTTCAGGACTCCTACTGCCAGGGAAGCAGGAGAACAGGAATGCAGTTGGCAGGGGAAATGGGCCGCAGAGAGGTTTGCTTGGGCTTGGTGTTGAGATGGGGAAATAGAGCATAGCTGTTTCCTGGTGGGAACAATCATGCTCATTTTTTTTGAGAACAAAAAGTGATGAGACTGAGCAGACTGTCCTGGAGCAGGTGGAAGGGGACGAGGTGCAGTGGACACAGTGGTGGGCCTGGCTTTAGAGAGGAGAGGGGTGGCCCTCCAGATGTCTGGCAGGAAGGGAGGGGATGTGGAGCAGGTACCGCAGGGCAGGCGAATGTGGGCTGGCATGGCGGAAGTTCCAGCTGAGGGCTTCCACTTTCCCAGTGACAGCCAGAGCTCAAGTCTATTATGCTCACTGCCAGGCTTCTCTCGAGTTTTCTGCTCATTGGTTGATTGCAGCTTTGTGCAGTCAGGAAGGATTTGCTCATTTTACAGAAGGGGAATGAGGCTCAAAGGTTGAGGGACCTGTCCAGGGTCTCACAGAGTCAGGATTCCAACTCCTCCCCTTGGTCCAACCCATCATCCCTCCACCCACCAGGACAGAGATGCCAGCCTAGAGCCAAGTCCTGCTTCAGAGCCACATGGGCCTCCACTCAGAGAATCAGTACCCGAAACTGGGAGCTCGGCCACACTTCTGCATGTGTGTGTCTTTCCAAGATGATTGTTACCCTATTTCCCCGAAAATAAGAGTGTCTTATATTAATTTTTGCTCCCAAAGATGCTTTAGGTCTTATTTTCAGGGGATGTCTTATTTTTCCATGAAGAAGAATACGGTACACATTTATTGTTAAATGAAAATAAAGGAAATCTATTACCTGTATATGGTACGGTGGTACGGTAGTACAGTAGTTGTCAACACAAACTAGACAAACTGTGAATCCTACAGTACCAAGAATTTACTCATTTATTCAATGACAATCATGTCATCACCTTCTGGAACATCATCATAACAATCCAATTCCTGAATTTCCTGGTGAATTTCTTGTGACTCCATTTCTTTCAGAATCAGTGGACCAAATCTCTCATGTTTAGCCTAGGGGGGCCTTATTTTGGGGGATGCCTTATATTTCGCTCAGAAGGAAACCTGTAAGTAGGTCTTATTTTCGGAGGATGTCTTATTTTCGGGGAAACACGGTAGTAAGTAAGGGCCTCCTTATCAAAAAGAATTGATACCACTACGGAGGAACTAGAATAAAGAGTAGTGGCCCCTCTTACCAGCCTCTCCAACTGGGGAGCCAGGAAAATAGTTTGGTGGATCCTTCCAAAATTTTGCTGGTGTATACACACACACACACACACACACACAAAGTTGTTTGTCTTTAAAAGAACAAATAGAAGATACCACTACATTTCTGCAACTTTTATTCACTTTACATATTAGCAACATCTCTGCAGGCTTTGGACTGATCGGTTTCACTTGCATGAGTCTCCCCCTTGATCAGGGCCATCGATAGAAATAGAATGCAAGGCACAAATACAGGGTATATGTCATTTAAAAAAGTCATTTTAAGGTAGCCACCTTAAAAATAGTAAAAAGAGCCCAGCCAGTGTGGCTTAGTGGTTGAGCATCAACCTGTGAATCAGGAGGTCCTGGTTTGATTTCTGTCAGGGCACAGGCCCAGGCTATGGGCTCAATCCCCAGTGTGGGATGTGCAGGAGGCAGCCGATCTATGATTCTTTCTCATTATTTATATTTTTATCTATCTCTTCCTCTCTCTTCCTCTGAAATGAATAAAAAATATATATTTTAAAAAAGTAAAAAGAAATAAGTGAAATTCATTTTAATGTTTTATTTAACACATTTCCACAATATCATTTTGAGATGCCTTTAATATAGAAATGAGATGCTGCATTTTTCTGTGTATAAGATGCTATTTTTTTTCTAAAATTGTTAGGCTGAAAATTGAGGGGCATCTTATACACAGAAGTCAGCCAAGGAGGGAGCCGCGTGGGTGCGTAGCTGCCCAAACCTTGTCAAACAGGCTCCCTCCAGTCACCAGCCTTATTGTTACTGATGTCAGCTGATACCATAATTGGAGGTGAAGGTGGAAAATGTGCAGAAGGAGCAGGGACCTGAGCGTTCTGAGCCCATAAGGATGTCAAAAAATAACAAGATAAATACCAGTAAAGGATAGTCTTACTCTGCAAGATTCCACCCTTAGAGCACCTCTCATTTCAGACAAGCCACAGTTCAGGTTTTCAGAAGCCGTATGGAGCTCGTGGCTCCTGTATTGGAAAGTGTTGGCCCAGAGATGAGGAAAGCATGCACCTGTGACCAATCCGCCACAGCCCTGCTGGTGACAGCCCCAGAGTTGGAGGCAAACACAGTGTCCATCAGCCAGTAACTTCTAGCTGGTTTGTTGGAATCCAGTGGGAAGTCTGAATTAAAGGACAACTCTGAGAATTTTCACAGGTGGTCTCCATGTGTGATTGAGAGCCATTCTTCATTTAAACACACACACACACACAAACACACACACACACACAAACAAAATACACTAAAGAAAACGTTTTAAAAAGAGAAAAGTAAACATTCATTTGGGGTTAATTTATTTAAATTAATAGAGTTATTTTTTAGAGCAGTTTTAGGTTTACAGATAATTGAGCAAAAAGTAGAGTTCTCATAACCCCTTCCCCTCCCTCCACCTCAGTTTCTCCTATTATTAACATTCTGCATTAGTTTGGTACATTTTTTATAATCGATGAGCAGCCAAAACTATTGTAGTTTGGCTCAGTGGATAGAGCGTCAGCCTGAGGACTGAAGGGTCCCGGGTTCGATCCAGTCAAGGGCATGTACCTTGGTTGCAGGCACATCCCCGGTGGGGGGTGTGCAGGAGGCAGCTGATG